CAAAATAACTATATTTTCAAAATTTGAAAGTTCAGTTAGAAGAGAGTCATTGTTTTACATTTTGCTTAATAAAAGACAACTGGATTCTCATATCTGCTTCTGCATTCTATCAGTTCTGACATCACATGGCACACAATAATCTCTAGAAAGTTCTGGTATACATGTGTGAGAGAATGAGTAGAAAGGTAAGTAATGTCCTATTGTTATGAAAGTAGCTCTGACTTTATGAACTGCCCCCAATGATCTTAAGCATACCCAGGAGTCCCTTGACCACACTTTAAGAACTCCTGATTTAGATTATCATTTTAAAGACTGTATAGAAACCTAGAATAGGACCCTACATTCCAGGATTCTATGCAGTCTTTAAAATGATAATAATGTAGGAATAATAATGTATGACAATGTATAGAACATTCATGTACTAGGGCCATGTATTATCTGATCTGATATACGTTATTGCTACCTTGGAGCATGGGTACCAGGGTCATATATGAATGTTCCATATATTTATCATTTATATGTGGCTGGAGTGAGTTTAGTTATTTTGAAAGTAATCTTTTGTTTTATTTTTATCCTTTGGAAGCTTGCAGGTTTCCATTTCCTGGAAGTTTAAAATCTTTACTAAAATACATCAGGGAGTTGATATCTCCACATCAGTTTTTCCAGGAAAATGGTGAGCTTGTTGAAATATAATCTCTGATTGCATTTCATATCTGAAGAGTTTCTTCTATTTTTTCCTTTGGTTACTGCTTCTCACCTCTTTGCTTCATGCTTTGGCAGCTCTTATTATTCATAGCAGAGACTCTGATTATATACCTTCCATATATGCTGCATTCATTTACATTTTATGTATCTTTTTGTTAAATTCTTCTGAATTCACAGAATTCCATAAATGTGCCTCTGTTTATCCCCCATGATGCTGCTTGAGTTGTCTGTTTAATCATATCTTCTTTTTATTGCTTCAGAAAGAAGTTATTTGGGCTAATGTTTTGCTTTTAGACGGTATGTTCCTATTTAACAAATAAAAGATGTTCTTTTCTAATTTAGAATATCTTCTAAAATTGTCATTTTCTTTAATCTGTTTCATATTAATGTTTCACTCTCTTAAAGTCACAGATTATCTTCATAGGTTTTGGGTTTAGTGTTAAGTTTTTTTGTTTGTTTTAGTCACAGAATGATACTTGTTGATATATATTATTACTGCCTAGGAGCCCTGGCTACTAAAATTCACCCTCAACATCTTGCTCAAGTATAGAGAAAACTCACCTGAACATAACCCATCTGAAAGGCAGGTAGGATAGAGATGCCACTCACAACTTCTCTCCCACTATTCTAGGTGGTAAGAGGTGTCTCCTCAGAGTGTAGAGCCTGGATTTATCCCTGTCCTGGGAATGACCATAAAGAAATTCATGGGCTGATGTTTGCACATATAGGTGGATTAGGAGGAAGTTAATGGAAGACCATGGGGGAGAAGAAGGGGGAAAATAGTTGGGGAGAGGGAGGGAGGCAAACCATGGAGACTCTTGAATACTGAGAACAAACTGAGGGTTGATGGGAGTGGGAGGGAGGGGAAGGGGGGTGATGGGCATGGAGGAGGGCACTTGTAGGGATGAGCACTGGGTGTTATATGGAAACCAACTTGACAATAAACTATTTAAGAAAAAAAAAAGAAATTCATGGGCTGGCGCAAAGCTCTGTGAGAACAGAGCAGGGATTTTCTATGCTGTTCAGTGAACAAGGAGGACAAGCCCTAAAAAATGAAACAGAAGCAAGAACAGGGCACTTTAGTTCTTCTCACCTGACTGAACAAAGAACAACAGGGAATGAATTGCAAGGTGCTCTTGAATATCTTTTGTGGTTACTGCTAAAGATTCGACTGTTTCCAGGTAGCGTTTTCAGGGAACTGTGGAAAAGCAATGGTGACTGCTATAATTGCTCTACTTTCCAAATTTACCTCTCTAATGGTTTTCAGATCAGAGAAGGTTAGCTATTTTCTTATTAATTTAATCTAAATCTGTTTACTCGTTAACTTCCTATGGGGACAGTGCCTACAAAGCTGGTGTTTTTACAACATTAACATCAGTAGGGGAGCTCCAACTTTCAATAACAATTTTTTTAGCATACTCGGTTAGAAAAAAACCTGCCAAACTGAACAGCAACTGTCATAATAGCGTCGTTATTAATAGCTACTGTATTAGTTTCTTATGCAAATTCCCACAAACTGAGCAGCTTAAAACAACACACATTTATTATCTTAGTTTAGGATATCAGAAATCTAAAATAGGTCAGCAAAATTGTGTTCCCTCTGGAGGCTCTAAGGAAGAATCTATGCATTGTCTTTTCCCGCCTCTAGAGGCTGCCTGCATTGCTTAGCTTGTGGCCACTTCCTCAATCTTCAGAGCCAGCTGGTAGCATCTTGCCTCCTCTCTGACCTCCTGCCTTCCTCTTCTAAGGGCCTTTGTGATGAACTGGGACAACCTGGAAAGTTCAAAATAATCCACCAGCTTAAGATCCTTAATTTAATCACATGTGCAATGTTGCTTTTGAAATGTGAGGTATTATATGTACTGGTTCTGGGGATTGGGACACAGACAACTTTGGGGGAGGGGCATTACTCTGCCTATCACAGTTACTATTTATAAAATGTCTTCTATGTGCTAGGTAGTGTACCAGAGGCATGTCATATGATTTCATTATTCCTCAAAGGAACCATGTAGTTTTCTGTTGAGAAAATGGAGAAAGAGAGATCAGAAGACCTCTCTTCTAAACTCCAGGCCAGTCTGTCCAACTGTCTCCTTGATGTCTCCACCTGGATGTCTAATAGACCTCAAACTTAACATGCCCCTAGCTGAGCTCTTGTGATTCATCCTTACAACCTGCTCTGCCAGTAGCAATCTCTGTCTCAAGAATGGCACCATCCTTCCAGCTGCCCAGGTCATTAGAACCATCCTTTGCTCTCCTCTTCCTTGCACATCTCACTTTTCTGATAAATCACAAAATCCTGCTGGCTCTACCCTCATAAAATATGCCAAATTTGACCATGATTTACCGTTTACATTGCTACCCCTGAAGTCCCAGCTCTCATCATCTGTCCCTTGGATGACTGCAGCAGGCTTCTAATCAGCCCTCCTGTGCCTGCCTTATCTCTAATGTACTTTCAACAGTCAGGGTGATCCTTTAAAAAACAAATGAGAGCATGTGACTCCTCTGTTCAAAACACTCCAATGCCTTTCTACCTCATTTAGAAGAAAAGTCAAACATCTTTCTATATTCTTCAAAGACCTACATGATGTTACTTCATCCCCTACTTCTCTTCCCCTTTCTTACTTCACTCTGCTGTATCCACCTTCTTGCTTTTCTTTGAAACTTCCAAGTATCCTGCAGCCTCAGGGCTTTGCATTTGCTATTTTCTCCACATGGAATAAATTTCTCCAGATATTTGCATAATAAGCCTCCTCACCTCTTTCAGGTCTTTACTCAGATGTCACTTAGTAAAAGAGACTTTTCAACCCCTCCATCTCTAGCATTTTATATTAAAATATTATCTACCCCTCCACCTCTAACATTTTATATTTCCACTTTATGTTTTATGTTTATATATATGTATATATATATACATATATATATACATATATATACTACTTACATAATAGGTAGACATATGTGAGTCAAGTTGTGGTAGCTAGCCTCCAAAGTGACTCCAGTGAGTTTCACCTCTTGGTGTTCAAGCCCCCTCCCATGTTGAATAGTGAAGACCCATATAATCAATATCATATATACATTATGTATACACATATATATATATATATGTATACGTGTATACATAATACATAATCAATCAGAAAAGATCGTGCATAACTCCAAAGCTAGGTCCTAAAAGATATTGCAGCTATTGCCTTGCTCTCTCTTGGATCTCAGTCCAGAGGAAGTCAGCTTCTATGTTGTTAAGACACTTACACAGCTTTAGGGAGAGGTCTTTGTGTAGAAGAAATGCCAACAGTCAGCACCAACTAGCCATCCATGTGAGGGAGCCGTCTTGGAAGTAGACCCTTCAGCCCCACTCAAGTTTTCAGACAACTACAGCTCTAATTAATGTCTTGACTACAACTTCATGAGAAATCCTGCGCTAGAGTCCAAGTAAGCTGGTCCCAAATTCCTGACCCACATAATAACAGAGAGAAGAAACACTGTCAGTCAAAACATTACCCTTTCTTGCAACCTTACTTCAACTGGAAATCTCTTTATAAGTCTTATAGGATTTGGCAAATCCAGGATCTCTAAATGTTTTCTATTGTTCCATAGTTCACCTTCCCTACTGAAAGAGAACTTCTATTTGTAGCTAATACCTTAATATTTGGGAAATGAAAAATTCAGTCATTTCCACACTACAACTTCAAACATTTCCATGACAATTCTGGTTTTAATTCTCATTTACATTATAATTTCTAAATTGAGTCTGAATATAATGCACCCTACATGAATACAAGTGTCTATGCATGGACACATGAGCTATAATAAAATCTTATGTATAATTAGTGTCCTGGAAACACTTCCATTTAGAAGGCACATGGGACACCTGGGTGGCTCAGTCAGTTAAGTGACCAACTTCGGCTCAGGTCATGATCTCTTGGTTCATGGGTTCAAGCCACATGATGGGCTCTGTGCTGACAGCTCAAAGCCTGGAGCCTGCTTCAGATGCTTTGTCTCCCTCTCTCTGTCTCTCCTCTGCTCACACTCTGTCTCTCTCTGTCTCTCAAAAATGAATAAATGTTAAAAAAATTTTTTTGGAAGGCACTTATATCTGATCTTCATGGTAATGTCTGAGAAGCTCTCAGGGAAAGTACTCCTTCCATTTTACAGATGAGAAAGTTGATAGTGAAAGAGATTAAAGTATCCTCTTAGGATTACTTGAGTAGATAATGGTCAATCCAGAACATCTCTAAATCTCAGTTCAATTCCTTGAATTGCTGTAGACAGCTGTTGGCGGGGTTTATACTGACCTGAGGTAATTAAATCAAGTGCAGCAGGAACTCCAATGAGTCTGGGGAAAAGCTGGGTTCCTCTTGCACCAGGAAGGAGTCCTAGTTTGACTTCTGGGAAGCCAATTTGAGCCTATGAAAGTGTGAAGGCATAAAGGTCATTAGAATGATACAGCATGTAAAGGGGAGCATTCCTCTGGATTTCTCACTCTCAAAAACACTGTTTCAAGAGTTTCTACAGAGCAATGCACACACACACTCTCTCTCTTAAAACAAATAAATGCCTGGGTGGCTCAGGTGGTTAAGCATCTGACCCTTGATTTTGGCTCAGGTCACGATCTCAAGGTTCCTGATATCAAGCTCTGCATCAGGCTCTGTGCTGACAGTATGGAGCCCACTTGGGATTCTCTCTGGCTTTCTCTGCCCCTCCCCCTACTCTCAAAATAAATAAGACACTTTAAATAAAATTTTTTAATGTTTATTCATTTTTGAGAGAGAGAGAGAGAGAGAGAGAGACAAAGCACAAGTGGGGGAGGGGTGAGCTCCAGGCCCTGAGCCATCAGCATAGAGCCCCATGCGAGGCTTGAACCTATGAACCACTGAGATCATGACCTGAGCAGAAGTTGGACACTTAAGCGACTAAGCCACCCAGGTGCCCTGACACTTTAAATAAATTTGAAAAAAAAAATTCTATAGGGCAAATTAGTGCATACCCTCTATTTAAGTTAACAACATAAACAGAGCTGCGCTGTCCCTAAGTCTTCATGTTGAAATACATCTCTACCTTCTCACACATTTTTTTCTCTGACTCCATGATGATCTGTTTCAGCCAACAAAATTTATATTCTCCAAAAACAGTTTTATGGAGCCCTAAAAGAGCCAGGAAGCTGAGAAATTAAAAGGAAAACCCACAGAATAGGAGAGAATATTTGCAAATCATATATGTAGAATATATAAAGAACTTTGTACAACTCAGTAATAAAAAGACAATCCAATTAAAAATGGGCAAAGGAGGGGCACCTGGGTGGTTCAGTTGGTTAAGCCTCTGACTTCAGCTCAGATCATGATCTCACAGCTCATGGATTTGAGCCCTATATCGGGCTCTGTGCTGACAGCTCAAAGCCTGGAGCCTACTTAGGATTCTGTGTCTCCCTTTCTCTCTGTCCCTCCCCCACTCAAACTCTGTCTGTCTCTCTCAAAAATAAATAAATTAAAAAAAAAAACATTTTAAAAAATGGGCAAAGGATCTGAATAGACATTTCTCTAAAATAGAGATACAAAATAGCCAATAAGCACATAAAGAGATGTTCAATATCATTAGCCATCAAGAAAATGCAAATCAAAACCAAAACAAGATACTACCTCACATCCAATAGGATGACTATAATAAACAGACACACAATTACAAGTGTTAGGAGGATAAGAACTCAAAACACTCATACATAGCTAGTGGGAATATAAGATGGTGCAGCCACATTGGACAACAATTTGGTAGTGCCTCAAAGCTTAAACATAGAGTCAGCATATGACCCAGCAATTCCACTCCTGGATATATACCTGAGAGAAAAAACATGCCAACATGTACACACACACACGCAAAATGGTACACAAATTTTCCCAGCATCATTGTCCATAAAAGTCAAGAAAGTAGAAACAACTCACATGTTCATCAACTGATGAATGGATAAAGACAATGTGGTATATCCATACAAGGAAATATTATTTGGCCATAGAAAGGAATAAAGAACTGATACAGGCTATAACATAGGTGAACTATGAAAACAATAATGTTAAGTGATAGAAGCCAGTCATAAAAGACAACATACTGTATGATTCTATGTATATAAAATGTCTAGAACAGGCAAACCCATAGAGACAGAAAGCAGATTAGTGGTTGCCTAGGACTGGGGGAGAGGGGAGATCGTGGGTTACTCCTAAGGGGTATGAATTTTCTTTATGAGATAATAAAATGTTCTAAAATCAACTGTGGTAATGGTTACACAGTCCTGTGAATATGCTAATATATCATTCAGTTTTATACTTTATTTTTTTTTAAGTAGGCTCCATGCCTAGCGTGAAGCCTAATGCAGGGCTTAAACTCACAACCCTGAGATCAAGATTCAGGCACTCAACCAACTGAGCCACCCAGGCACCTCTCAGTTGTACATTTTGTTTTTAAATGTTTTTTAAAAAAGTTTTTAAATGTTTATTTTTGAGAGAGAAAGACAGCACAAGTGAGGAAGGGGCAGTGAGAGAGGGAGACACAGAATCCGAAGCAGGCTCCAGGCTCTGAGCTGTCAGCACAGAGCCTGATACAGGACTTGAACCCATGAACTGCTTAAGTCAGATAGTTAACTGACTGAGCCACCCAGGCTCCCCTTCAATGTTTTTTTTAATGTTTATTTATTTATTTTTGAGAGAGAGAGAACATGAGCAGAGGAGGGGCAGAGAGAGTGAGGGAGACAATCCAAAGCAGGCTCCAAGCTGTCAGCGCAGAGCCCTATGAGGAGCTTGAACTCAGGAACTGTGAGATCATGACCAGAGCCAAAGTCAAACGCTTAACCAATTGAGCCAGCCAGGAACCCTCAGTTATACACTTTAAATGAATGCATTATATGGTATTTGAATTATATCTCAATAAAGCTACTACAGGAAAAAAAATTAGGCAGCAACCTCAATCCATACAAGAGAATGAGTTTGAGTCCTTTACCACATGCCTCTCCTGGCTATTTAAAAGTGGCTAAAGTTCTGTTAGTCATCTTACAAGTTACAGAATGGGGGGAGGAGGGTGCTTTAATGCAGACTGTCACTTACCCATATTGTGATTCCAAGAGCTCCAAAATACCTGGAATATTTATGCCTTTTTCACACAAGGTTTTCCCAGAAGTCTGTCATGATTTTTTCCACACCTGTTCATCCCCATCTCCTGAGTTATCATTGCTCATAACTTAGATCTGCACTCAATGTGCAGAAGGCATGGTAAGAGGGACACAGAAAAAGGAGCACTTAGGATATATATCTTTATTCATAAACCTTTATAAAAATTAAAATGCTGGGGCACCTGGGTGGCTCAGTTGATTGTCCGATTTTTGATTTCAGCTCAGGTCATGATCTCAGGGTTCATGGGCTCGACCCCCATGTCTGGCTCTGTGCTGAGAGTGCACAGATTCTCTTGGGATTCTCTCTCTCCTTCTTGCCCTACCCCTCCCCTGCTCTCTCCCTCAAAATAAATAAACATCAAAAAAATTAAATGCTACAAGGAAATAGTTAAATAAATTATGGTATATCTATAAGACAAAATTATAGAGCCATTTATTTTTTTTAATTTTTTTTTATTGTTTTTAATGTTTTCTTTATTTCTGAGAGAGAGGGAGACAGAGTGAGCAGGGGAGGGCCACAGAGAGAGGGAGACACAGAATCTGAAGCAGGCTCCAGGCTCTGAGCTGTCAGCACAGAGTCCAACAAGGGACTCGAACCCACTAACCGTAAGATCATGACCTGAGCTAAAGTTGGACGCTTAACCAACTGAGCCACCCAAGCGCCCCATTATATAGCCATTTAAAATGATACATTTAAAGTCTATTTATAGCAAGATTAACAGCAGGTTTCTTCTCAGAAACCATGGAGACCAAAAGGCAGTAGGATGACATATTCAGAGCAGTGAAAGAAAAAACCTCTTAAGCAAGAATTCTACATCCAGCAAAACTAGCTTTTGAAAATAAAGGCAAAGGGAACCTGGGTGGCTCAGTCAGTTAAACGTCTGAGTCTGGATTTTGGCTCAGGTCATGATCTCATGGTTCGTGGGTTCTAGCCTCACGTCAGGCTCCACATTGACAGTGTGGATCCTGTTTGGGATTCTCTCTCTCTCTCTCTCTTAGCCCCTCCCCCTTCTCTCTCTGTCTCAAAGTAAATAAATAAACTTTAAAAAAAAGGAAATGAAGGCAAATTAAAGCATTCTGAGGTAAAAACAAAAACTGGATTTGTTGCTAGGAGATCTTCCCTACAAGAAATCCTTCACAGTGAAATGAAAGTACTCTAAACAGTAACTTAAATCCACGTGAAGGAATAAAGAACAATGATAAAGGATCACTGTTTAGGTAAATATAAAGGACAATGTAACTTTTTTCTATAATTTTTTTCTATAATTTTTTTCCTATCTGATCTTAAAAGATCACTACATTAAGCAATAATCAAAAATCTATGTTAATGGGCACACCTGTGTAATGATACAATTTGTGACAATAACAGCACTAAAGGAGTGGGTCACAGAACCACATAGGAGCAAATTTTTTGTATACTATTGAAATTAAGTTGGCATTAATCTAAACCAGATCGTTTTAAATTAGGACGTTAATTATAATCCCCAGAACATTCTTACCACTGGTAAGAAAATAGCTAAAAAATACATGAAACAACAAGAAAATGAAAAGGATACTAGAAGACATCTATTTAATACAAATGAGCATTAATGGAATAACTGAGAAACAAAAAAGACATAAGACATAGAAAACAAATAGCAAAATGGCAGAAATCTTTCCCTATTAGTAACTGCATTATATGTAAGTAGATTAAACCTTCTAAAAGAAACAGATTGGAAGAATGGATAAAAAATATTTAACAATAGGTTAAATATGATAATACTATAAAAATAGAGTACATGTGAAATACAATAAAATTCCAAAGGTAGTGTTTTTTTTTTAAGTTTATTTATTTTGAGAGAGAGAGAAAGCACATGGGAGGGGTAGAGAAAAGGCGGAGAGAGAATCCAACACTAACAGCATGGAGCCCTACTCGGAGCTTGATCCCACGGACAGAACTGTGAGTTCATGACCTGAGTCGAAACCAAGAGCCAGATACTTAACCAACTGAGCTATCAAGGCATCCCTGTAGGTGTTTAAAAAAAAAAAAGACAGTGAAGAAGGAGGAGAAAAAAAAATGTTGCATGAAAAATGTATTACATAGGAAGAAGACCAGAAGAAAATAAAACAGAATATTAATAGTGGTTATTTCTGAACTGTGAGTTTATGGGGATTTTAGTTTACATCTTTATACTTTCCTGTATTTTTTAAGTCTGTCACAATGATCAACATTATCTTTATCATTAGAAAAATATGTTACTTACAAAATGTTACCATTATAAGGCTGGTATCTATCATGGACCTCATCTACATACCTAATAGCCCAAATTAAGTCTATTTCCAGAAATAAATGGATTTACAGTTCTGTGCTATTTTCAAACAGGAAATTGTCTTCTTAGGTACTAATAATCATAAGCGACCACAAAATCAAAACCTTTGAGGAAATAAAAATTTAAGTAAGTATGCATACTCAGGGATAACAGTCAAAATATTTTATACCTCATGCTGCATAAGCCTGGCTCTGCAGAACATGATGTGGGCCATACTATTGCAGCAGAGTCCTGGGGGCCCTGTACTGACCCAGCCGCTCCCCTTTGGTTGGTGTTTTATGGGAGACCCAAGGGCTAGTGCTAGAAAAGCAAGGGGATAGTCATGGGGCTCAGGGTAACAGCTATTTATCCACCAGAATGGACATTTTTCAACATTTCAACAACTACTACCACTGTGCTGGTGCATAGCAGTTGAAAAACCAGGGCTAAAAATACACAAGAGTTGTCAACCAGTAAGCTAGCCTTTTAAAATGATCACCTCTGAGGCTTATACAACATTTAGACTTTGTCTTAAAGAAAAGCCCCCCACACCAAGCCCCACATGGAGCTTTAGCGGTTGGTTACCTCTGCATGGGCAATCCGATAGTGACAGCCCAGGGCCAGCTCCAGTCCCCCTCCTAAAGCCATGCCTTGAATAGCTGCCACCACAGGCTTCTCATTTCTCTGTATTTCATCTACTAAGTGTCCCAATGAGATGGCAGTCTTTCTAGAAGCACTGAAGCTGTGGATATCAGCACCTAAGGACACAGACAAGGAAAAAGACAGCTGCAGAGACTTGGGCTTTATTATAAACAATAAGGTGCCAGATAACTCTCAATGAATCTCAGACCTCTTTGGGTCCACAAAACATTACATCTTTTGGCTGGACACACAGTGAAGGAAAAATAACCTGGAGAATGTAGAACATTACAAGAGAAAATCCTCAAACCTTCATCAGGAATCGTGTAATCTAAAAATCTGTCTTCCATATGATAGGTAGCAACTCTACCTTTAAAAAATTAAAAGGCTCAGAGGAGGGGGAATGGAGATTGAGAAGTTGAGCCAGCCCTTCCTTCCTCCCCCCTTTTGTTTTGCATAATATTGCTCACCAACCTTATTCACAACAATTTAGACCCATATCTTTGTTAAGCGCATGAGTCACTACAACATAAACCTCAGCATAAAACACATACATATTTGTGAGTTATATGTTAATCGACCAGTTTGGAATTATGTTTTCGCAGTAGATTGTTTTTGTGATCAAAAAAAGCAACAACATTTCTTTTCCTAATTATAAAAATGACATATAGAAAATTTGAAAAATACACAAAATAATAAAGAACATAAAGATCACCCCAAAAATCACCACACAGAGATAACAATGTAATATTTTGGTGAATTCTTAGTTGTTTCCCAATGCATATGTGTAAATGGCTTTGTGACCTTCAGGAAGTTATTTAACCTTTTATCATAACACCAATCTTCAATGACTTAGGAGAGAATTAAACGAAAGTTTGTTATCATATATATGTAACAATATTGAAAGCATTCTATAACATCATTTTTCATATTTTCCTTTTTTCACATAACATTATACTGAACTCTTCCCCACAGAATTATTTATTCTTTGAAAACATTAAGCTTGGCAAGAGTTAAGAAGTTAAAGTCATTCTTTCATATCAACCTACTTAACTTTTTATTTCTACCCATTCCTTACCCAGCATCAGTCGGAGATTATTTTTTTGCTCATCAATCCATCATTTTAACACTCCCATCTAATGTCACTATTGTTATTATCTCTATTCCTTTTTGGTTTAAGAAAAACAAGATATCTCAAGCCTGTCAATCCTGTAACTTTAGATTTAAATGATTTTTCATGTCATAATAGCAGTTAGCATGTATTGGATAAATATTTTACATCAGGCATTGTGCTAAGTAGTTTCATATACTCTCTTATTTAATTTTCTTAACAACCCCTATTTCACAGATCAGGAAGTTAAGGCTTTGAGACGTTAAGTGACTAGTTCAAACATATGACCAGTTAATTACTGGTAGAATGAGGATTTGAACTGAGACAGTTTAACTACAGCCTACATTCTTAAATGTTACACCACTTTTTTCTACTTGCAGCATAAGGTTAGTACTATTATCCCAATTTTATAGAAACCAAGGCACAAACAAGGGTACAGTGATTTCACTTTTCAACTATTTATTTCTGGCATATAGAAATGCAATTAACTTTGGGATATTGATTTTATACCCAGCAAAACTACTGAATTATTAATTCTAATACCTTTCTAATAGATTTGTTTGAGTTTTCTGTAAACACTATCATATCTTCTAGATAATGAAGTTTTCTTTCTTCCTTTCCAATCCCTATGTTTTTCATTTGTTTTTCTAGTCCTACTGGACTGGCCTGGGCCTAGAACACAATGTCAAACAGAAATGGGGATAGTAGCTAGCTCCTATCTCAGAAAGAAAGCTTTGTTTTGTTTTATTTTTATTTTTCATTTTTCATTTCTAAGTAATCTTTACAACCAATGTGGGGCTTGAGCACAAAACTCCAAGATCAAGAGTCTCATGCTCTCTCATGACTGAGTCAGCCAGGTACCCCAGGAAAGCTTTCAATTTACCATTTTATTTGATGTTTTCTATAGGTTTTCAAAAATGGATTAAGACATTTTCTTTCTATACCTAGTTAGGAATTCTTTTTTTATTTAAATTTTTTTTTTAAAGTTTATTTATTTTTAAGAGAGAGAGAGAGAGAGAGCACGAGTGGGGGAGGAGCAGAGAGAGAGGAAGACACAGAATCCAAAGCAGGCTCTGGGCTCCAAGCTGCCAGCACAGAGCCAGATGCGGGGCTCAAACTTATAAACCATGAGATCATGACCTGAGCCAAAGTCGGACATCCAGCCAACTGAGCCACCCAGGCGCGCCTAGGAATTTTTATTTTTAATGCATGTCAAATGTTATCAACTGTTTTTACTGCATTTCTTTAAAAAATCATATAACTTTTCTCTTTTAATCTTTTAATAGAATGAATTAAACTAATATTTTAATGTTCAACCAATCTGTAATTTCTGGGGGGAAAAAAGTGATGCCTTCTACTTTTTATATATTGTTAGATTTGATTTTATATTATTTAAGAGTTTTATACATATGTCTATGAATGAAACTGGCCTTTCATTTTGTTTTTCTTTGATTGCAAATTTCATTCGTAAATTTTGCTTTTTCATACTGGCCTCGATAGACGTTGATATCAAGATTATGTTAGCCTCACGAAATGAGTTGGAAAAAGTGCTAGATTGAATGGTGTCCACCCAGAACCTATGAAACTTACCTTATTTGTTAATAGGGTCTTTGCAGGTATAACTGAGTAAAGATAAGGTCATACTGAACTAAGGTGGATCTATGTAAGATCAGGGAAATCTGGACACAGGAGAAAAGGCCACAGGAAGAGACAGAAGTGATAAAGCAACAAGCCAAGGAATGCCAAGGATTGCCTGCAACCACAGAAGCTAGAGGAAGCAAGGGAAGATTCCTCCCTAGAGCCTCTGGAATAAGAATGACCTTGCAGATATCTTGACTTTGAACTTCTACCCTCCACAAGTATGAGAGAACAAATCTCTGGGTTTTTTTTTTTTTAATGTTTATTTATTTTTGAGACAGAGAGAGACAGAGCTTGAAGTGGGGAGACGCAGAAAGAGGGAGACACAGAATCCGAAACAGGCTCCAGGCTCCAAGCTGTCAGCACAGAGCCTCTGGAATAAGAATGACCTTGCAGATATCTTGACTTTGAACTTCTACCCTCCACAAGTATGAGAGAACAAATCTCTGTTTTTTTTTTCTTTTAATGTTTATTTATTTTTGAGACAGAGAGAGACAGAGCTTGAAGTGGGGAGACGCAGAAAGAGGGAGACACAGAATCCGAAACAGGCTCCAGGCTCCAAGCTGTCAGCACAGAGCCCATCCAGGGGCCCGAACCCATGAACCGTGAGATCATGACCTGAGCTGAAGTAGGATGCTTAACCGACTGAACCACCCAGGCGCCCCAAGTTTCTGTTGTTTTAAGTCATCTAGTTTAAGTCATCTGTTATGAAACCCAAGGAAACTAATATGGGAAGTTTTCCCTCTTCTTTTGTTCCCTAAAACATTTATGTAAAATTCAAATAATATTTTCCTTGACTTTCCAGTTAGAGCTTGCCAATGAAGTCATTGGGGACTGGAATTTACTTTGTGAGATTTTTTATTACTGATTCAATTTCTTTAATGGCTTTCTATTTCCACTTGAGTCATATTGGGAAGTCATAATATTTTCATTATCCTTTTTAATGGCTGCTGCATCTGCAGTGATATCCCATCTGCCATTCCCAATATACATTGTGCCTTCCCTTTTTCTCTTGATCAATTTCTCCAAAGCCTTGTTGATTTCATTAGTCTCTCAAAGAACTTTTGACATGGTCTTGAATCACATTTGTTTCCATCGAATTAATTTCTCCTCTTCATTATTCCCTTTCTTCTATTTCATTGGGCCTATTTTACCATTTGTTCTGTTAGTTCCTTGATATAAATGCGTAACTTCCTACGTTTCAGTCATTTTCTTTTCTGATAAATACCTGTAAGGTTATAAATCTCCTGCTAAGTTTTTCATTAACTGTACCCTTCAAGTTATATATATTGCATTTTCACTATAATTCAGCTCTAAATATTTTCTAAATTCTATTATGATTTTGCTTTGACTCAGGGATTCTTAAGCAATGAATTTAATATCTAGACATATGAATATTTTAGTTATATTTTTGTTATTGATTTCTAGTTTAATTGCATTGCTGTCAAAGAACATATTCTAAGTGAAATTTATTGAGACAAGTTTTGTGGTCCAGTATCTGGTCAAATCACCAAATGTTGCAAATTTGAGAAAAATGTATATTTTCCAATTGTTCTATATAAATCCATTAAGTCAAACAACCTCTAATGCTTTTCTAGGAGAATTATTTATTTTTCTATCCCTGAGTTCTAACTCCATTCTCCCTTTTCCAACTTCTTTCTTACATAGAAATATCAAGTTTTCCATAATTGGGATCCTTCTCTCCATGGCACAAAGCCACCATCTTGGGCATATGACCTGAAGTTTCAAAACAACAAATAAGCCATTTAATGACTGATTAACATTTGGCACATTATTTTAATCTCTCTAAGACTCATCATTTTCATCTGTAAATGGAGACTGTAGAATTTACTGAGGATTAAAATATGTGTAAAAATACTCCTTTTTATTATTTATAAATAAATAACCTATATATCCAGTACTGTCACAAGATAAATGGCAATTTTATAATGATTAACATTCTTTTTTTTTAAAGGTTATTATCAAGTTCATTTCCATATAAAGCCCAGTGCTCAACCCCACATGTGCCCTCCTCCATGCCCATCACCCCACTTCCCCTCCCCCACCCCATCTGCCGTTAGTTTGTTCTCAGCATTCAAAAGTCTCTCATGGTTTGCCTCTCTCGCTCTCCCCCAATATTTTTCCCCTTCTTCTCCCCCATGGTCCTCCATTAAGTTCCTCCTAATCCTCCTATACGTGCAAACATATAGTATCTGTCCTTCTCTGCTTGACTTATTTCACTCAGCATAATACCTTCTAGTTCCAGCCAAGTTGCTACACATGGCCAGATTTCATTCTTTCTCATTGCCATGTAGTATTCCATGGTATAGATAAACCACATCTTCTTGATCCATTTGTCCGTTGATGGAC